TTGCAGTTTTTGTTTTTTTTTACTTTGCAGTTTTTTGGTGTGTGTATATATACTAGTAAATTATAACAAGAAATTTGCGGGCTTCCCTGGTGGCGCAGTGGTTAAGAATCTGCCTGCCAATGCAGGGGACACGGGTTCGAGCTCTGGTCCGGGAAGATCCTACATGCCGCAGAGCAACTAAGCCCGTGCGCCAGAACTACTGAGCCTGCGCTCTAGAGCCTGCGAGCCACAACTACTGAGCCCGCATGCCACAACTACTGAAGGCCGCGTGCCTAGAGCCCATGCTCCGCAACAAGAGAAGCCACCGCAACGGAGAGTAGCCCCCATTCACCGCAACTAGAGAAAGCCCGCGCCCAGCAACGAATACCCAACACAGCCAAAAATAAATAAATAAAATAAATAAATTTATTTTTAAAAATTTGCCATTTCAATAATTTTCAAGTATACAATTCAGTGGCATTAAATATGGGCCCGAAAGTGCCTTCGGTTTTTTAAGTAAAAATAAAAGACACATTTTTCGTTTTCACCAAGAAATTTATTGAACAACGTATTCACCCTTTTGTTCCACTACCTTCTGCCATTTTTCAGGCAACTTCATAATTCCATCTTCTCAAAACTATTAATCTTTTTGAGCAAAGACCTGTTCCAGGTGCCTTTTACAGTCTTCCAAGGAACTGAAATTTTTTTCATTAAGAGAATTTTGTATAGACCGAAATAAATGGAAATCCGAAGGTGCAATGTCTGTTGAATAGAGTGGACGAATCAGAACTTCCCAGCCAAGCTGTAACAGTTTTTTCCTGGTCATCAAAGAAACATGCAGTCTTGTGGTACCCTGATGGAAGATTATGCGTTTCCTGTTGGCTAATTCAGGGCGCTTTTCATCGAGTGCTGCTTTCAGTTTGTCTAATTTGGAGCAGTACTTGTTGGAATTAATCGTTTGGTTTTCCGGAAGGAGCTCATAATACAGGACTCCCTTCCAATCCCTCCATATACACAACATCACCTTCTTTGGATGAAGACCAGCCTTTGGTGTGATTGGTGGTAGTTCATTTCGCTTGCCCCATGATCTCCTCCATTCCACATTATTGTACAGTATCACTTTTCATCGCCCGTCACAATTTGTTTTAAAAATGGAACATTTTCATTATGCTTCAGTAGAGAATCACATGTGGAAATATGGTCAAGAAGGTTTTTTTGCTTAACTTATGTGGAACCCAAACATCAAAGCGATGAACATAACCAAGCTGGTGCAAATGATTTTCAACGCTTGATTTGGATATTTTGAGTAAGTTGGCTGTCTCCTGTGTGGTATAACGTTGATTGTTCTCAGTTAATGTCTTAATTGATCGCTATCAACTTCAGCTGGTCTACCTGACCGTGGAGCATTGTCCAGCAAGAAATCTCCAGCATGAAATTTTGCAAACCACTTTTTTTTTTTTTTAAGAGGATGTTGGGGGTAGGAGTTTATTAATCAATTAATTTACTTTTTTTTTTTTTTTGCTGTGTTGCGTCTTCATTTCTGCGTGAGGGCTTTCTCTAGTTGTGGCAAGTGGGGGCCACTCTTCATCATGGCGCGTGGGCCCCTCACTATCGCAGCCTCTCCTGTTGTGGAGCACAGGCTCCAGACGCGCAGGCTCAGTAGTTGTGGCTCACAGGCCCAGTTGCTCCGCGGCATGTGGGATCCTCCCAGACCAGGGCTCGAACCTGTGTCCCCCGCACTAGCAGGCAGACTCTCAACTACTGCACCACCAGGGAAGCCCCTGCAAACCACTTTTGACATGTTCAATCAGTCACAGCACCTTCTCCATACACTGCACAATCTTTTTCTGCATTTCAGTTGTGTTTCTACCTTTCTTGAAATAATAAAGTATAATATACCAAAAGGTTGCCTTTTTTCTTCCATGTTCAATATTCGAATGGCTACACAAAAATTCACCAATTTCGATAAGTCTTTCTTAAAATGCATACTGATACGACAGCTGTCACATAAAATCTAACAACATTGTTTCGAATGAAGTTAAAGACAACTAAGTGCTACTATAGCCATCTTACAGAAAAAAACAAACGAAATTTTTAGCCCACCCATTATTTTCAATATTTTGCTTCTACCACCCCTAGCTTAAAAAAAAAAAATCAAACCAAATGGAAAATGTGTATCCATTGAGAAATAATCCCCCATTCCCCTCTCCATCCAGCCCCTGGAAACCTCTAATCTACTTTCAGTCTGTACAAGCTTGTCTATTCTAGATATTGCTTACAAGTGGAATCATACAATATTTTTCCTTTCATGTCTGGCTTTAATTGTTTGGCATGTTTTGAAGGTTCACCATATTGTGGCATGTATCAGAACTTTATTCCTTTTCATGACTGAATAATATTCCAATGTATGAATGTACCACATTTTAAAAATCTATTCATGTGTTAATGGACACTTCCGTTGTTACCACCTTTTGGCCATCGTGAATAATGTTGCTATGAAAATTGTTGCACACGAATGTGTTTGAGTGTCTGCTTTCAATTCTTTCAGGTTTCCCAAGGAGTGGAATTGCTGAGTCCAGTGGCATTTCTGTATTAAGTTTTTGAGGAGCTGCTAAACCGGTTTTCATATTATTATACTGTTTTTCACATTGCAGCATTTTACATTCCCATCAGCAATGTGCGAGTGTTCCAATTTCTCCACAGCCTCATCCATACTTGTTATTTCCCCTTTTCCCCTCATAGTCATCCTGGTAGATGTAGACTGGTATCTCACGGTTTTGATTAGAATTTCCCAGGTGTATAATGATGTTGACATTTTACTGCAAAACAGGAGTATTTTACTCCTGTTTTTATTGATCCTTTATTTTACAGTAATTTACTCCTGTTTTTCATGATCCTTTTCCTCCATTTTCCCCTCTCTTCTGGCCTCCCATCAGTGAACAAACATGGACTGATACCTACTTTCTTAACGGGAAAACTCCCTTTCGCCCACCACCTCCTTAACGCTTTATCTGTTCCATTTTCTGAGGCTCCCTGGCTCCTCTTCCCCCGTGCCCATCCCAGCCGCGCTTGCAGCCCACATGTTAAATTCCTTTCTTCATAGTGTCTCTTCTATTCCCCAAATAAGTCAGGGAAAGCCATCTTTCTTTCTGTGAGTAAACTGCGCATAGCAAAACTGATTCCAACAGGATGTAGACATATCCTATTAGGAAGAGAGGTAGTATATAATATGAATTGAGCCTGTCATTTTGGGATTTTCCTCCCCTCTTATTCAGCTCAAAAATTAATTTCCCTAACTCCAGTAAGTCTCTTTCTAGAAGGGGCTCCTACTCAAATCATATTTCTTCCAGCCTTTAAATTATTTGGAAGTTTCATGCTGTACTATGTGGATTTCCATGCAGTCAAAGCTCAGGGCAGAGGAGGACGATTGAATTCCTGTGTGGACCTGACCGAAAATGGTATGTGAGCAATAAAGATGCCTCAGAAATCTGCATGGGTCACCAAGGTGTCTGGAAGAAAGCTAAACTGTGCCTGTTCAGCGTGAGACTTCACAGGGATGCACAGAGAACTGCGGCTAGGGCTGGGAACCAGCCGGAGATTGCACAGGCTGCACAGCGCCGGTGATATTAGAATCCTGACCGACCAGAGTGGGGATACCTCCCTGAACACCTTAGGTGGTCAGTGGAGACCCCAGAAAGGCTTCACCTAGGAGTAACAGGGTGCCCTAATATATATGCTCCTACCCTGGTCAGGCAGCATTGCAGCAGCTGGTGGAGGGGCAAGGAGGGAATGAGAGCAGCAACGATCCCCTAGCTGCCTGCATTTAGGCTTTGACGGTGTCCTACCTCCCCATAGGGGTTTCCTAGTCTAGGAATTCTCTTCAAGTACTTTACAACCCTCTCTTTTAATAACGGGATGAGTTATGCTTCAGCAGAATCGCGCGTTGAATTGTGTCGCTTTTCCAGACACCCCGACTCTGGGAAGACGTGCAGGTGGGGGCGATGGGGGAACCACTGCCAGCCTACCCCATCCGCAGCAGGGCCTCCCTCAGAAGGACCCTGGCCCAAGCGCAGGCTGGTCTAGGGTCCTCCCTGTGCTCCACGCTGGGGGGGTGGTTCTGTGACAATCTCTCCCTTCTCCCGTGTTCCAAGGGAACGCCGTTAGTTCTTTTCCTCCAGGAACAGATGCACTTCAAGGCAGCGAAGCCATGTGTGATCTGAGGTCGCATCTTGGAGAGGACAATGAGGCCTAGGCACAGTGGGTGTGGCAGGAGGGACAGGCTGCAACTCCGGACCCTACAGTGCCCGCTGGCTGCGGGCTCACAGTGACTCAGGCAGAGAGGAGGGGGGCGCGGGAGCCGGAGGAGACATTCAGGGAGAGGGGGCACCTCCGTGGACGTCTTTAATGGCACTCCCCTTGGGGTTGAGTCTCCATTCCTGGCCGCAGAGTCTGCGGTCCCCCCTTTTCACCTAAGGGCCGAATCCCAACTTTCACACGCAGCCGCCAGGGGGCGCCGGCCGGTCCAGGAGAGATGCGGGCTACGAGCTGCCCTGGGGCCTTTCCCCGGGGGAGAGCAGGGAGCTGCAGGGACGCTCAAAGGGCCTCCAGACCCCGCGGAGGTTCCCGGGTTCACCAGAGTCCTCCTGGGAAGGGTCAACCTGGAGCCCCCTGACGGTCTCCCCCGGCCCCTCTGGGCTTCAGGCGCGAGGTCTCTACTGCTGGTCCCAGGACGAAGGTCCTCAGCCCTCCCCCTACAGAGGTCAAGCGCACACCCCGGTCGCCAGCAACAAGTCCGCGCTGCTCTCCGGAAGCCGAGTCCCCGCCTGACGCCCTTGAGGCAGAGTCTCAACTTTTCGCCTACAAAGTCAACTCCCGACCTTTCCAGGCGACACCCCAGGAGGCGCAGCCAAACCTGCCAACCCTGATCTGGTCAGATCACGAGCCCGTTTTGCGGTCAGGGGTCGGAGAGGGGTGGGAGCGGCTCTCACACCAGGGAGGGAACTCAGGACTTTTCGCAAAGGGTTCTGTGTCTTCCCCCAACCCCCGCGCCGGGGGAGACCTCCCATGTAGCCCGCGACCACCCGGGTCAGCGTAGGGGTTCCCATATGGGGTCGAAGCGTCGCCGACCCCTCATCCGGACATTTTCCGGGCAACCTCCGTACAGGGCCACAGGGTAGACCGCCGCCCGGGCCATAGAGCCCTAACACGGCCTCCGGGACTCCGTGATCTCGGTGTGGGCGCCCTCCTCTGTGGCTGGTGGGGCCATGGGAACTACGCTACCCACAATGCCGGAGGCCGAGGGCCAAGACTAGCAGCCAATGAACGCCCGAAAGCAGGGCGTTTTCTCGTTCGGACCAGAGGATGTGGGTGGGACTTCCGGCGCCGCTGTTGTGGCAGTCACTATGGCTGCTCCAGTGTCCAACAGCGATACGAGTACTTTAGGAGAGCGGAGTCAGGATCGGGGTGACCAGAGCGAGGAGGCTTTAGAGGAGAGGTTGTCCCCACTGCACAGCGGCGAGTCTGCAGAGCCGCGGCGGTAGATGACGATTGTACACGAGTTCCGTCTCTGTCGCCCACCACCTAAGACCCCGCTCCTCCCAGACTCCGATGGCGGCGGCCGCGCCGAGGGACCCGCCTCAGGTAAACGCTCGTCCTACGGGCCTTGACCGCCCTCACCCCACCAGACACTATAGACCCAAGTGCGGGGCGCCTGCTCATGTCTATGCAGTATAGATCCCTGTGTCCAGAAGAGTGAGGATCTCATGGGTGGAGTCCCCATATCTAAAAAACAGTGTGATGAGATGTTGGGAGAGTGTTACAGGCAGAGGGACCGGTTTATGTAAAGTTGTGGAGGGGTGATTGAGCCAGAATCATTCCCACTTGGAATGGCAAGTTGAGGAGTTTTAATCTCAGGATGGTATGGAGGGTTGTGAATAGAAGAGGCACATGGTGTGACTTAGGCTTTTCAAATTTTCCAGAAGTTGCTCAGAGTAAGAACAGACTGGAAAGGGGATGAAAACACTGAGCCACAGGGCGGTTGAGTTTTTATCCAAGATCATACAGTTGTAAGAGCACGAAGAACAGAGACTCAGAGATAATGCAGTCATCCCAGGTCACCTTGCTCCAGGGCTGGACAGGGGTACAGGGAGACCTGAGCCTACTGAGCCTGCCATGATTACATCCTTCTAATGACCTCCCTCTTCCTACAGACTCCCATGACTACAGAAGTGCTTATGGACTGTACAAAGGTGAGTGGAGGATATTCCAGGCCTTCAATGGTCCTGACCAACCCTTTGTCTCTGGGATTGTGTCCTGGGATTTTTCCAGTCCATGGACCTGGAGACCCTGAAGAAACCCCAAGCCCACATTTGGTTGTCTCTGGGAGGCACAATTTGGGACTCCAGGGGAATTACCTGACAAGAGGACATATGCCCTAATGCCAGGCTCAGAGTTTAGATGGCGTCTCCCTGCCCACGTGCTTGTTGTTGGTGTGAGCAGACACAGTGATCTTGATACCATGAGAAGAGAGCAGGTATCTGAGGCCCCAGGGCCTGATATTTCCTCTAAGGTGGGAACACTGGAAGGAGGATGAGCAGGGGACGGATGTCTGGGTGAAGGAACTTGGGTCCTAGAAGAGAAGTTGATCATGGAATGATCTGTCCTCATCCTGGCAGGGCTGTGTGACCTTTGAGGACGTGGCCATTTACTTCTCGCAGGAGGAGTGGGGGCTCCTTGATGAGGCTCAGAGACGCCTGTACCACAAGGTGATGCTGGAGAACTTTTTACTTACAGCCTCAATGGGTAAGGCCCTCACCCAAGGGTCCTGGTCTCTATCTTACCTTCTGTCCCCCAGAGGCAGCCCTGCCCTTTCCACAGACAGACCATGGGCTCTGCTAACTTCCCCACTTTCTTGGCATATGTGTTGTGGGTACCAGTGCTGAGCTGTGTGCACTTCCCGCCCCAAGTAGTTCTAAATCCTGTTGTACCAAGCTTCCAGGGAAGGATCTCGGATTTAGGAGTCTTGCAGTCAGCCTAAAACAAAGCATCTCACCTTGTTTGCCCTCACCCTGGCAGAATGAATGTGTCCAGATCCATGACACCTGGTGTCCCGAGTTCTGATTGAGTCGGTAATTTTAATAATATTTATAATTAGTATTTAACAATATGTATATATGATATATAATTTTTACTGATGTTAGATATGGGGTCCTGATGGATGGGACCACAATATTATAGTAATCCACCATGAGGCACCTTTAATTTTTCCAGATTTAAGGACAGACATAATTGGGCTTTAGAATGGAAAAGCAGTGAGGATAATCACCCCTTCATTTATTAGATTTTCTATAGTAAGTTTTAATCCTTGAAGGCCCTGTTTTAACATACATTGGGCTATATTACCTATTTTAACTGGGTGGCCTGTGAGGTACCATTTTATTAAGCCAATTTGTGTCAAAGACTTATGTTAATTTAAAATTATTATTCAGCATGTTAGAGCAGCTGTGCCCAATATGGGATAGTTTTGGGTGCTATGACATTGGAAAATTTAAGAAAGGCTACAGTTCAAGTGAGACATACCTATTTTTCTCTGTTTTGTATTTAGTTACATTCCTAAGAGTATACAGTTATGGTGTGTAAAAATAGTGTAATCCTGGGATTTCCCTGACTGTCCTGTGGTTAAGACTCTGTCCTTCCACTGCAGGGGGTGTGGGTTTGATCCCTGGTCGGGGAATTAAGATCCTGCATGCTGTGTGGCCAAAAAAGTAGTGGAATCCTCACATATAATTTGAGCCCCACTAATAATTACGTTTACGAAGTTTGACCATTGGTCCCTTTTAGTAAATGTTAAAAGTTATTTATTTATTTATATTTAAACCATTATACTTAAACCATTGTACTAAGGAATGATTGACATTTAAAAAAGTGTACACATTTCCTGGATACAACTCAATAAGTTTGGGAATAAGTATACATCCTTGAAACCATCACCACCATCAAGACCATAAACATATCCACCGCCTCCCACCTCTTTATTATTATTATCATCATTATTAATTGGTGTGTGTGTGTGTGTGTGTGGTAAGAACACTTAGGTTACTTCCATATCTTAACTATTGTAAATAATGCTGCAATGAACAGAAGGGTGCATATATCTTTTCAAATTAGTGTTTTTGTTTTGTTCAGAGAAGTACCCAGAGGTGGAATTGCTGGATTGTATGGTAGTTCTATTTTTAATTTTTTGAGGAGTCCCCATATTGTTTTCCATAGTGGCTGCAACAGTTTACATTCCCACCAATAGTGCATAAGGGTTCCCTTTTCTCCACAGCCTCACCAGCACTTGTTATTTGTTGTCTTGGTAACAGCCATTCTAAGAGGTGTGAGGTGATACCTCATGTGGTTTGATTTGCATTTCCTTGATGGTTAGTGATGTTGAACATTGTTTCATGTGTCTGTTGGCCATCTGTATGTCTTCTTTGGAAAAAAGTCCATTTACATCCTCTGCTCATTTTTTAATTGGGCTGTTTGTTTGTTTTCTTTGATATTGAGTTTACATGTAAGTTTTTTGGGTTTTTTTTACATGTAAGTTTTTAATCCATTTTGAGTTGTTTTTGTGTATGGTGTAAGGTAAGGGTCCAATTTCATTCTTTTGCATGTAGATATCCAGTTTTCCCAGCACCACTTATTGAACAGGCTACCCTTTTCTAGTTTGTATTCTTGGCCCCCTTCGCAAACATTAGTTGACCATATATGCAGAGGGTTATTTCTGTGCTCTCTATTCTGTTCCATTGGTCTATGTGTCTGTTTTTATGCCAGTACTATACTATTTTGATTACTGTAGCTTTGTAATATATATAATTTGAAATCAAGAAGTGTGGTGGGGCTTCCCTTGTGGCGCAGTTGTTGAGAGTCCGCCTGCCGATGCAGGGGACGTGGGTTCATGCCCTGGTCCGGGAAGATCCCACATGCCACGGAGCGGCTGGGCCCGTGAGCCATGGCTGCTGAGCCTGTGCGTCCGGAGCCTGTACGCCACAACAGTGAGAGACCTGTGTACAGCAAAAAAAAAGAAGTGTGATGCCTCTAGGTTTGTTCTTCTTGCTTAAGAATGCCTTGGCTATTCAGGGTCTTTTATGGTTCCATATGAATTTTAGGATTTTTTTTCTACTTCAGTGAAAAATGCCATTGGCATTTTGAAAAGAGTTGCATTGAGTCTGTAGATAGCTTTGGGTAGTATATTTAAGAATATTAATTTTTCCAATCCATGAACAGAAGACCTCTTGCCATTTAGTTCTGTCTTTAATATTTTTCATCAATGTTTTAGAGTTTTCAGTGTAAAGATCCTTTCACCTCCATGTTTAAATCTCTTCCTAAGGGTGTTTTTTGTTTTGTCTTTTTATCATCATAAAAGGAATTGGTTCTTAGTTTCTTTTTTTTTTTCTTTTTTTTTTTTTTGCGGTACACGGGCCTCTCACTGTTGTGGCCTCTCCCATTGTGGAGCACAGGCTCCGGACGCGCAAGCTCAGCAGCTATCTGATTTTTATTCTTCTTTCTATTAATGTGGTATATCACATTTATTGTATTTGCTGAAATGTCTTTGCATCCCAAAGGTAAATCCCAGTTGAACATGCTGTATGATACTTTTTTTAAAAATAAATTTATTTATTTATTTATTTTTGGCTGTGTAGGGTCTTTGTTGCTGTGCGTGGGCTTTCTCTAGTTGCGGTGAGCAGGGGTTACTCTTCGTTGTGGTGCACGGGCTTCTCATTGTTGTGGAGCACGGGCTCTAGGCACGCAGGCTTCAGTAGTTGTGGCACATGGTCTCAGTAGTTGTGGCTTGTGGTCTCTAGAGCTCAGGCTCAGTAGTTGTGGCACACGTGCTTAGTTGCTTTGTGGCATGTGGGATCTTCCCAGGCCAGGGCTCGAACCCGTGTCCCTTGCATTGGCAGGCAGATTCTTAACCACTGCACCACCGGAAAAGCCCTGTATGATACTTTTAATGTGCTGTTGAATTTGGTTTACTGTATTTTGTTGAGGATTTTTGCATCTATGTTCATCAGGGATATTGGCCTTTGATTTTCTTGTGTTGTAGTGTTCTTATCTGACTTTGGTGTAAGGGTGATACTGGCTTTGTAAAATGAGTTTTGATGTGTTCCCTCCTCTTCAGTTTTTTTGAGGATTGGTATTAAATGTTTCATAGAATTTACCAGTGAAACCATCAAACACTGGGATTTTCTTTTGGGGGAGGTTTATTATTACTGATCCAATATCCTTACTCATTATTGGTCTTCTTTGATTTTCTATTTCTTCAAAATTAAATCTTGGTAGGTTGTATATTTCTAGGAATGTATCCATTTCTTCTAGGTTATCCAATTTGTTGGTGTATAATTATTCATAGTAGTGTCTTATGATCCTCGTATTTCTGTGGGATCAATGGTAATGTTTCCTCTTTCATTTATAATTTTATTTATTTGAGTCCTCTCTTTTTTTTCTTAGTCTAAGAGGTTTGTCAATTTTATCTTTTTCAAAAAAATCTTAGTTTTGATCTTTTCTATTGTTTTTCTAGTCTCTTTTTTGTTTATTTCCACTTTTATCTTTACTGTTTCCCTCCTTCTGATAACATTGTGCTTAGTTTGTTCTTTTTCTAGTCTTTGAAGTGTGAAGATAGTGTGTTTACAATCTTTCTTTTTTTCTTAGTGTAGATATGTATCTGCTATAAAACCTTCCCCTTTTAGAACTGCTTTTGCTGGGTCCCGTAAGTTTTGGTATTTTGTGTTTCCATTTTCATTTGTCTCAAGATATTTTTTGATTTCCCTTTTGATTTCATCTTTAACTCATTGGTTGTTCAAGAGTGTGTTATTTAATTTCCACATATTTGTGAATCTTCCCATTCTCCTCCTGTCATTATTTTCTATGTTTATCTTATTTTGGTCAGAAAAGATACTTGATATGATTTCAGTTTTCTTAAATTGGTTAAGACTTGTTTTGTAGGCTACCATATGATCTATCCTGGAGAATTTTCCCTGCACTCTTGAGTAGAGTGTGTTCTGTATTCGATGAAATGTTCTATATATGTCTGTTAGATACATTTGGTTTATAGTGTTCAAGTCCACTGTTTCCCTGGCCGTGAAGGTTTTTTGTTTTTTGGGGGGTTTTTTTGGCGGTACGTGGGCCTCTCACTGTTGTGGCCTCTCCCATTGCAGAGCACAGGCTCTAGACGCACAGGCTCAGCAGCCATGGCTCATGGGCCCAGCCGCCCCGCGGCATGGGGGATCTTCCCGGACTGGGGCACGAACCTGTGTCCCCTGCATCGGCAGGCAGACTCTCAACCACTGCGCCACCAGGGAAGCCCGTGAAGGTTTTTTAAGATGTCAAAACATCATATTATACAGAAAGCTTAAAAAAGAACATGATTAATACTCTCCCACCATAATCAGCATGATTCACAAATATTTCTCTTCTTTCAGTTTGTTTGCATGGAACAGAGAAGAAAGAGACACCTTCTGAGCAAAATGTTTCCCTAGAAGTTTTGTCACAGGTCAGGACTCCAAAGGTAGGTCCAATCAGCCAGAAGGCTCACCTCTGTGAGAAATGTGTCCCAATCCTGAAAGACATTTTGCACTTGGCTTGCCTACCTGGGCAGAAACCATACTTGACTGGGGCATGTGCAAACCTACGACAGCTTCAGAAGCATTTCAGTGCAAAGAAAAGTGACATGGATAGGGCATCATTTGTAAAGAGTTGCATATTCCATGTGCCAGGGCATCCCTTCACCTGTAGGAAGGTTGGAAAGGACTTCCCAGCTACTTTGGGCCTTCTCCAGCACCAGATCACTCCCACTTGTGAGAAACTCAACAAAATCACCAAGTGTGGGGAGGCCTTTCATGGTAGGAGAAGTCATTACAAGTTGTGTGAATGTGGGAAAGCTTCCAGCTACAAACAGAGTCTTGTTTACCACCCAAGTGTCTCTACTAGGAAAAGGGTTTATGAGTCTAGCAAATATGGGAAAGCCTTGCGCTGTAAGTACTCACTTGTTCAGCTCCAGAGAGTCCACACTGGAGAAAGGCCTTATGAGTGCAGTGAATGTGGAAAATCTTTTAGGCAAAGAGCCACCCTCATTATACACCAGAGAGTTCACACTGGAGAAAGGCCTTATAAATGTGGCGAGTGTGGAAAATCCTTTAGTCAGTGCTCCAATCTTATTGAACACTGCAGAATTCACAGTGGAGAAAGGCCTTATGGGTGTGAGGAATGTGGAAAAGCCTTTGGGTGCAAATCCAATCTTGTTCGGCACCAGAGAACCCACACTGGAGAAAAGCCTTATGAGTGCAGTGAATGTGGGAAATTCTTTAGACAATGCTTCACGCTTGTTCAACACTGGAGAATTCACACCACAGCAAGGCCTTTTGTGTGTGTCCAGTGTGGGAAATCCTTTAGCCAAAGAGCCACTCTCATTAGACACCAGAGAGTTCACACTAGTGAAAGGCCTTATGAGTGTGGGGCATGTGGGAAAGCCTTTGGATCCAAATCCAAACTCAATCGGCACAACAGATGTCACACTGGAGAAAGGCCTTATGAGTGTGCTGAATGTGGGCAGTCTTTCAGACAAAGCTACAGCCTCGTTGAACACCAGCGAATTCATAGTAGAACAAGGCCCTTTGAGTGTGGCCAGTGTGGGAAGTCCTTTAGCAGAAGAGCCATCTTCACTAAACACCAGAGAATTCACACTGGAGAAAGGCCTTATAAATGTGGCGAGTGTGGGAAATCCTTTAGTAGAAGCACCAGCCTTATTCAGCACTGCAGTATTCACACTGGGGCAAGGCCTTATGAGTGTGGGCAGTGTGGAAAATCCTTCAGGCAAAAGTCTGTCCTTATTCAACACCAGGTAGTTCACACTGGAGAAAGTCTTTATGAATGTGGTGAATGTGGGAAATCCTTTAGCCAGTGCTCCAGCCTCAATCTCCACCGAAAATTTCACACCAGGGAGAGGCCCCATGAACACAGGAAGTATGGGAAATCCTTTACTCCAAACAGCTAACATTGTTTAGTACCAGGAAGTCCACACTCTGAGAAAGGCCTTAGACCTCAAGGAATTGCTGTCTCCTCATTCATTATAATAGCACTAGACAGCTTCTGTGAGGGAGCCGTCTGCCTTGAAATTGAACCTCATACCTCCCACTTTCCAGAGGGGTTAAATTCCCAATGAGTTCCAGGGACCTGTGAAGCTTACAGGAGCTACATTCCATGTTCTAAACTCCCCAGGGCCCTTGTCAGAGTTACATCTCTGATATTTTCTCTGGTAGAACCCACCTCACCTCTCCTGCCTTGCACAGTATTTCATTGGTCACCCTGATGTGCTAACACAAGGAAGATGTCTGTGCTCTCTCCTATTCCCTGGAGGAAATCTTGAGTAGTCTGTGCCCTTACATTTTCCTATTTCCAGTTGATTAAGTATGAGTCTGACCCTTCATCAAAATTGTTGGTTTCACGTGACATTTGTGGTTGATATTCCTGCCTCAAAGTCACCAACTGGTAATTGCCTTGCCCCCTCCCCCCACCATTGCTCTGGTTTGTGTAGCAATAAAGGTCTTATTGTTTAACCTACCTTTAATCTCAGGGGTTGTATTCACTGCGGGGGGTGGGTGGAAAACAGAATTGGCCTGTTTGTATGAAGGGATGGGTCCTCAGCCTCTTGTGCCTCAGCAGGGACAGTATAATGACAGGAGAATAGTTTTCATTCTAGTTTTAGCCTAATTTGCATTGCTCCCCAAGATCTCCTAGGAACTAAAATAATGCTTTGTGGTCCTAATTTGGGACCTGGCAGTCTACATATTGTATGACCACAGGTTACCCTGAGGAGGGGTCACTTATTTTGGCAAGCTCCAGGGCCTTTGGGACTGCCATGACTTTGTCTCATATTCCCAGAGGGTGTCCTATAATGCCCAGCACTGTTGAGGGGAAGCTTTTCAGTGGGTTCTACAAAGGAACCAAGTGTCCTGATGTTCATAATTCTGTGGACTGGTATCCCTCCTCACACTACAGGAGCCGGTTTTCAACCATACTTGGTAGTAAAATCCTGGGTGGGATTAATAGTCAGTGGAAGAGCATGCAGCAAATTAAATGGAGTGTGCCTCTTCTAATGTGCGTCCATAAATCTTCCAGTGACTATGGCTGTGAGGAATCACAGACCCTCCAAAGGCTGTGTACCTCCTATAGCTGAATTCATTGTCAGCAAACAATCTAAAGGTTTTGTGAATTCTCATTGTCTTTCTGGGCTGGTCAACTCAAGTCCATTACTGTAAAGGCAGGGAAATGAGAACAGAGAATGGAGATCCTGTTGTCCAGGGATGTGCCTTTTGTGGTCCAGCCAGTGGTCCTGTTGTCCCAGACTGCAGCGGCCTCCATTGCTTGCCCATATTTCCAGCACTGATTCAGGGCTGCCCTTCCCACGGAAAGGGAAAAAATAGAGTGGAGTCAATATTGAGTTGTTAAACTTTCTGGTTTCCAGAAAGAGGGGGAGGTCCAGATTTTTTTTATTTTGAACGATTTGTTTTAGAAACTTTATTGAGGCATAATTGACATGCAGTAACCTATACATATTTAAGGTATATAGTTTGAAAATTTTTGCCATATGTATAAACCCATAAAACCATTAGAATCACGATAATGAACATAACCATGATTTACCTCATGCCCCTTTACAATCTCTCGTTGCCCTTCCCAAGCCTACAGGAGTCCAGTGATTTACTGCCTTCAACAATAAATTAGTTTGCATTGTCTAGAATTTTAGTTGAATTGAAGTATAAAAGTGTTTGCTCTTTTTTTTTTTTATATTTTTCGTACTGCCTAATTATTATGAAATTCATCAATGTTGCTTATATGAATAGTTCATTCTTTTACTGTTGAGTAGTATTCTTGTCTATGGATATGCTACTATGTGTTTATCCATCCATCTGCTAATGGGCAGTTGGGTTGTTTCCAGTTTGGTGTTGTTAGAAATAAAGCTGCAATGAACATAGGCATACAGTTCTTTATATGAATATGTGTTTTAATTCTCTTGTGCCACTACTTCAGAGTATGTGAATGTTTCAATATTTAACAAACGGCCAAATTGTGATCTAAACTGGTTGGACCCGTCTGTGTTCCCACCAACAGTATATGAGAGCTCCTATTCCTCCACATCCTGCCAATACTTGGTATTGTCAGTCTGTTTAATTTTAGCTGTTTTAACAGGGGTGTAATAGCATCTCACTGTGATTTTAATTGCAGTTCTCTGATGTTCATGATGTCCAGCATTTTTTTCCTGATTATTTGCCACTTGTATATCTTCTTTAACGACTGTTACTACCAGTTGCTTATTTTGAAATGGATGTTGGCTGATGTTTCCTTTTCCATTAATAAATAAAAGACATATGTCTAACAAAGACAGGTGTTGGAACTTCACTCATTCCTCAGCAGTGATGTGTCATCTTTACTAAAAGGAAGTATTATTTTTGAATACTATCAGAATATTTTCTCAATTGTTTGTTGCTATTCTGGGAGTGTAACACTCCCAGAGGCTATATACTTTCAAGCGTTGTCTACCTTCCTAACATATTCTCCACCACTTTCGTAAGTCTAGCCATTCAAATAAACAAGGCCCATTTTGTAGAGTTTTTGTCCGTTTTTCTGGTGTATCTATGCCCATCCTGGCCAATTTCAAGTTGCCAAAAGGATGGCACTAAACATGGATTTGGGAAGAGTGTGCAGTAGCACAATATTATAATGTATTTCCACCATGCTGATGGAGTGGTCACAAATAACCTCAGGAATATATATGAGTAAAACATAGTAAAATAATTTGGAAATGACAACTCTTTTTTTTTAATTAATTAATTAAGTAATTGGTTTTATTTATTTATTTTTGGCTGCATTGGGTCTTTGTTGCTGCACACAGGCTTTCTTTAGTTGTGGTGAGTGGGGGCTACTCTTTGTTGCAGTGTGCAGGCTTCTCATTGCAGTGGCTTCTCTTACTGCGGAGCACAGACTCTAAGTGCTTGGGCTTCAGTAGTTGTGGCACGTGGGCTTCAGTAGTTGTGGCTCACAGGCTCTAGAGCGCAGGCACAGTAGTTGTGACGCATGGACTTAGTTGCTCCGTGGCATGTGGGATCTTCCCAGACAGGGGCTCAAACCCATGTCCCCTGAATTATCAGGCGGATTCTAAACCACTTCACCACCAGGGAAGCCTCAACCCCATCATTATTGATCAACTCATGGCCATTCTTGTTTCACCTGTCCTCACGCATATAACTGGGTTGTGTTACTTATAATCCCAACATCTTGTCATTCAATGCCTAATCTCCTCAGAATGTACTTCCAAAACGTAAGGACTCTTTCATAATCCTAATAACTTTCAGACAAAATTTTGAGTTGTTAAAAATATATTTTCAGGACTTTCCTTGTGGTGCAGTGGTTAAGAATTCGCCTGCTAATGCAGCGGACACGGGTTCTATCCCTGGTCTGGGAAGATCCCACATGTGGCAGAGCAACTAAGCCCATGCACCACAACTACTGAGCCTGCGCTCTAGATCCCATGAGCCACAACTACTGAGCCCGTGTGCCACAACTACTGAAGCCCACGTGCCTAGAGTCCATGCTCAGCAACAAGAGATGCCACTGTAATGAGAAGCCCATGCTCTCTGCAACTAGAGAAAGCCAGCGCACAGCAACGAAGACCCAGTGCAGCCAAAAATAAATAAATACATTTTAAAATATATATATTTTTTCAGTGTTCAGTTTCTTTTTCAATTTTCCCAAAAATATGTTTGTTCTTTAAGGCAGTCAGATCCAAAACGGATCTATGTGACTTTTAGTAGCTGTATCTGGGAAGTCTCAATTCACTTATAGATATCACTTCATTTTTTAAAATTCTTGGGCCATTCATTTGTTGAAGTTGCTCTGTCGTTTGCCCATCAGAATTTGCCATGTTCTGGATTTGGGGTGTGCGTGTTTGTGTGTGTGTGTGTGTGTGCGTGTGTGTGTGTGTGTGTGTGTGTAAGTGTTCTCTGCCCTGGGCTGTGCTGTGCACGGTCCTTCCAGCGCCCCAAGTCCGCGCTGGAAAATCACCAGCTGGGGGCTCCCAGTCAGTCAGCCTAGCGCCCTGGAGGAACGAACCTCTCTCACCTCCCCAGCTCGGACTTGCGCTCCCCCAAGAAGCTTACCCCACCAGGTTCCCCGGAACTGAGGATCTTGTCCACAAAACGTGCCCCCTCCACGCGTCTCCGGAGCCCCACCTCAGAACGAGGCTAACGATCTGGTCAGACATCCTTGCATGCAGCTTCCAAAAATTCTGCCGGAATTTGACAGTAACACTAATATCCTCACCTAGGCCGAGAAAAATAATAATAAATGCGCCGTTTCCATTTAAAAAGTTTAACAAAACAAAACCCAGCATGGAAGTCGTTTATCCTAGTCTCTTATTTTGGACACCCCCCGAATTTCTGCTTCCATACGCAGTGACAATCCTAGTACTGCTCGGGCCCGGGGGCTTGGGGCGAGGGGGTGAGGGTCTGCTTCCACCGTTCGCACTGAATTAGGACTAACATCGGAAATGGGGGTCGGGGCGCATTCCTTCCAGGACGGCGGCTTACCCCCTTGCAGTCCTGGACCTGTTTCTTCTATACATGAGACCCAGAATTGTTCCGGCTCTCTCCCTACACTGGCAAAAAGACGCCCCCACCAGGCCCGGGGCACAAGGGTCCGCCTTGAACACGTGCGAGTGTCCGGGGAGCTCTGCGCGGCCCTGTCTGCCCCGTCCTGCATCTTCTGGCGGGCTGTACCCGGGAGCGGCTCCCGCCTGCTCCTCCCCCAAATTAGGTAATGCCCAAAGGAGGTTACGTCAGCAGGCTTCACGGACGTTCCTTGCCTTCTTGGGGGAGGTCACCCCCGAATTCGCTCAATTTGCGGGCTTCACGGGACCCTAACACCCCATTACTTAAACGCTTCTATAATAGAGGAACACAGGCAGACGGGCGGCAGGGGCTGCGAGAGAAGCGAGGGCGGCCAAGAGGGCGCAGATGTGTCCAGGCCTGCACGCCACCCCTCCGGCGCCACGATGGTTTACCCCATGACGTAAGGGCTCATTCATAAACACTGTTATAAAGAGTGGAGGCGGTGCCGGTTGCTCCCGCCTCTGGGCTGCTAGCTCCTCAGGCGGGGACCCAGCCGCCGGCCTGATGGGCAGGGACCACGCCCCGCCCCGGCCCCGCTCCAGCCGCACCTTACCACCACCCTGAATTCTTCCGGCTTCAACGCACGCCACGCTTCAACGTCCGCTACCGCCTGGCGTGCTACCACGTGGTGTCCTCCCGCTGCTGCATCGCTTTCCGGGCCGCGGACGGTTCCTCCTGCTGTCACTTCCTGGCCGAGTCCTCCGGCACTGGCTCTCCTGACCATGTGCAGGAAGGCTGAGCTCGCGGGACTCGCGGTTCGGCGTCCCTCCTTCGCCGGGTAGTGAGGCTGTCCCGGCCGGAGCATCCCGGTCCCGGGAGCCCTGGACTTGCTGGAAGCGCACGCACGCTTGTCCCGGTAAGAATGGTCCCTTTTCCGCGCCGGCTGTTTCGGAGCGCTCCGGCCCGCCCGCTGTGGCTTGTGTCCGGCGGGAGCCGAGCAAACGCGTGCCAAGCAGAGACTTGCTCACAGGACCCCGGCTCCCCGGGGAGGCGGCAGAAAGTGGGCGCCCTCCCTCCGCTGGCAGCCTGGAGCAGGCAGGAGGGGCGGAGAGGAGGGGAAGCGGGCGGATGGTAAGGCGGCTCACCGATAAAAAGCGAGTTCACTCGGGAGACTCTTGAGGGGCTCCTGCATCAGAACAGAAGTCGGGTACATTTATAAGAACCCCCTTTCGAGCCGGTGATGCTGAGGGTATAACGGGAACGCAGTCGCAGGATGGAGGAGAAAGGCAGTGCGCGGCAGAATTCTTGGGAGGAAAGGGGGAGACCTTCCAGCCAGGATGAGGGGCATATAAAAAGAAATGAGCAGTCCAGGACAGTTTCTCCTCCCTCTCACTCCACCTGTATCCAGAACCTGCTTGGTCCCCTCAGCTTTCCCCTTCTGTTTCCTTCTAGGACTTGTGCACAGACCTGGCCGGCTCCAGTGCCAACCTCATCCCAAGGGTGACTGCCATCCGGACCAGCCCAGACCTGCAGTGACTGGTACGGCCCACTGAGGTGTTCTTGGCAGCCCCGTCACACAAGATTCCCCCACCCATACGGAGTTCTTCTGGCCCGGATGGGGGTTATCCCATGAAGACCATGGCAGGAGGCAGAACTCAGGGCGTTGGCAGGAAGGGCAAGGTGGAACAGGTGAGGAGTCGGTGGGCACCTTCTCTCTGTAGGGAGGGCTGGGGTGGCAGCATTGGAGGAGATGGGGGCACGTGGATAGAATGAGGCCACTGATGGAATTCACTACACATCCTGAACTGGCAACCCTGGCTCAAAGCCCTTTCCATCCCAAGTCAGACTCTGATAGTTCCACCCCAAGAAATAGCCTAATAGTTTATTCTTTAGTAGGTTCCTATCATGCTTGTAGACTGGGCTCTCCTTTCACTTGCTGAGGATCTTGTAAAAAAGAAAAATTTTCGTATCTATTTTAATACTTTTGTTTGGTATGTGTATTTTCTTAAACAATGTCTTTTTATGGTCATATAGTTGATTTACAATGTTGTGTTAGTTTCTGGTGTACTGAATCGCTTTGCAGTACATCTATCAAAATATGTAAAATATATACATATATTTTACAAAATTATACATGTAAAACATATTCTCTTTCAGATTCTTTTCCATTGCAAGTTATTACAGGATAATGAATATGGTTCACTATGCTATACAGTAAATCCTATTGTTTATCTATTTATATATAGTGGTGTGTATCTGTTAATCCCATACTCCTAACTTATATACATCTTTATCCATTCATCTATAGATGGACACTTGGGTTGGTTCCATGCCCTGGTGATTGTATATAGTGCTGCTATGAAAATAGCAGTGCACTATCTTTTCCAATTAGAGTTTTCTCCAGATGTATGCCCAGGAGTGGGATTGTTGGATATGACAGCTCTTATTTTTAGATTTTTAAGGAACCTCCATACTGTTCTCCACAGTGGCTGCACCAATTTAATTCCCACCAACAGTGTAGAAGGCTTCCGTTTTCTCCACACCCTCTCCAGCATGTATTATTTGTAGACTTCTTGATGATGGCCATTCTGACCAGTGTGACGTGGTACTTCATTGTAGTTTTCATCTGCATTTCTCTAATAATTAGTGATGTTGAGCATCTTTTCATGTGCCTGTTGGCCATCTATGTACTGCCAGGGAATTCCCATTTTGTCCATTTCTCAATTGGGTTGTTTTTTGTTGTTGTTGTTTTGTTAATTTTATTTTTTTGTTTTTTTTGTTTTTAATAAATTTTATTTTATTTTTGGCTGTGTTGGGTCTTTGTTGCTAAGCACAGGCTTTCTCTAGTTGTGGTGAGCAGAGGCTACTCTTCATTGTGGTGCGCAGGCTTCTCATTGCACTGGCTTCTCTTTGTTTTGGAGCATGAGCTCTAGGTGCATGGGCTTCAGAAGTTGCAGCATGCAGGCCCTACAGCACAGGCTCAGTAGTTGTAGGGCATTCATATTTGATTTGATATTAATTTCTTCTGCTTTCTCTGGATTTCTCTTTTCTTTTCCTAGTTTCTGAAGGTGGAATCTGAGTTCCTTGATTTGACACATTTTTTTCTATAAGTGTTAAATGTGGGATAAATTTTCCCTAAAGTACTGCTTAAGAAAACGCCAATAGGACTTCCCTGGTGGTCCAGTGGTTAAGAATCTGCCTGCCAATGCAGGGGACACAGGTTCAATCCCTGGTCCAGGAAGATCCCACATGTGGTGGAGCAACTAAGCCCATGTGCCACAACTACTGAGCCCACACCCTGCAACTACTGAAACCCATGTGCTCTAGGGCCCACGTGCTGCAACTGAGCCCATATGCTGCAACTACCAAAGCCCTCATGTCTAAAGCCTGTGTGTGCTCTGCAACAAGAAAAGCCACCACAACAAAGAGTAGCCCCTGCTCGCTGCAACTAGAGAAAAGACCACGCACAGCCACAAGACCCAGCGCAGCCAAAAATAAATTTAATAAATTAATTTTAAAAAGAAAGAGAAAAGAAATCATTAATAAAAGGAATGCCCTGGTGGTCCAGTGGTTAAGAATCCACCTTCCAATGCAAAGGACGCAGGTCAAATTCCTGGTCAGGGAACTAAGATCCCACATGCTGCAGGGCAACTAAGCCCATGCACCTCAACTACTGAGACCACACACTCTGGAGCCCATGGGCCACAACTAGAGAAGCCTGTGCAACTAAGAGCCCATGCACCGCAATGAAAAGATCCCACATGCTGCAGTGAATATCCTGCTTGCCACAACTAAGAGCCAATGTAGCCAAATACATTAAAAACAAAAAAACAAAACAGAAAACCCCAATAAACTGTTCCCTGCCAGGGCTGCTCCAACCCAGCTACCCTTCCAAGGCACTCACCAGGGAGTGCCCCTTGTCTGGGCCTGCTCCAGAACAATAAGCAGCTGTCCTCCTTTTATTCTAATACGAATATTTTAATAATCAATCAAAGGTATAGTATTTCTAATAGCTCTTTTAAATAAATTTTTTTAATTTTGGCTGTGTTGGGTCTTCATTGCTGCATGCAGGCTTCTCTAGTTGCAGCAAGTGGAAGTTACTCTTCGTTGTGGTGCTTGGCCTGCTCATTCTGGTGGCTTCTCTTGTTGCAGAGCACGGGTTCTAGGCATGCAGGATTCAGTAGTTGTGGCACATGGGCTCAGTAGTTGTGGCTCATGGGCTCTAGAGTGCAGGCTCAGTAGTTGTAGTACATGGGTTTAGTTGCTTCGCAGCACATGGGATCTCCTTGGACCAAGGCAGGTGGATTCTAAACCACTGCACCACCAGGGAAGTCCCTCTAATAACTCTTTGTAGATGTTTATAAGATCAAGAAGGATTGCTTCTATCCTTAGTTTAATATCTCTCTAACTGTAATAGCTATGAAAAATTCAGAAATTGAACATTTTTTTTTAAAGTTTCCATTCACAATATCATTCTATGTAGAAAATACCTGGGGATGTTTAAGTTATATGAGACTTATAAACAGAAAACTAAAAAACATTGCTAACAGAAATTAATCTAAGATCTAAATAAAAGAAGATATATCATGTTTATGAATTGGGACACTCAGTATGCCTTTCTAAATTAAAGATTAAATGCAATTCCAGTCAAAATCCTAGTTGGTTTTTGGGATGTTCAAATTCACAAGTGGATTCTAAAATTCAATGGAAAGGCAAAGGACTAAGAATGGCCATAACAACTTTGAAAAAGAAAGTCCAAGGAGTACATGACCTTGATTTCAAGACATATTATAACAACAAATTATTCAACACATGAAAGGATTTGCATAAATAAAGTAGATAAATGCAACAGAAGATAAAGTTCAGAAATAAACATATACATATGATTGACCTTCAATGAGGATACAAAAGCAATTCAGTGGAGAAGGTATTTAAGTCAGTATCACTGCAGCAACTGGGTATCCATATTTTAAAAAGAACTTCCAAAAATGAACTAAATATGAATCATTTACATCAATTAAAAAAACTAAACTTTAAAGTTTCAGAAGGAAACATAGAAAAACTTCTGTCTTTAAATTTGGGAAACATTTTTCATTTATTGATAGAACACCAAAAGCATAAGCAGTAAAAGAATAAATGCACAAGTAAGAATCCATTAAAGCTGAAAACTTTTTCTCTGGAAAAGCTACTGAAATGAGAAGGCCAATTCTGGATGAAAATAATGTCAGATATTTCCATTAGAGAACCTTAATCAATAATCCATGAAGAAATGTCAAAACTCAGTAATTAAGATGACAAATCATATAAACAGAAATTTCAAAAAACTATGAATGAAATTATCACATGAAAAACCACTCAACATCATGTCAATAGGGAAATACTCGTTAAAATCACTAGATACCACTATACACCTCTTACATCACTGAAGTTAGAAAGCCTGACCATACCAAGTGTTGATAAGAATGTAAAGAACAAGAACTCACGTTCTGGTGCTTCTAGTAAGACTGTAACAGGATACTACCAGTCTACGAAAGTTTGGCTCCACGTAAGTTAAATTTTCACTTACTCTATGACACCTACTCTATATGCTGCTAGATATTAACTCAAGTGAAGGAAAGCTCAAGTCTGGAGGGCATTTCTCCAGTGTGAACTTTCTTGTTTTTTATGAGCCTGGAGCTGCCTGCAAAGAACTACACTCAAGGTTTTCCTCTAGTATGGATTCCCTGGTGGGCAATAAGACCTCTTCTATAGACAAAGGCTTCTCCACATTCACTGCACATATAAGGCCTTTCTCCAGTGTGGATTCTCTGGTGGACAACAAGACTTCTTCTGTAGACAAAGCCTTCCCCACATTTATTGCATGTGTGAGGCCTTTCTCCAGTGTGGATTCTCTGGTGCTCAAGAAGACTTGTTTTGTAACTGAAAGGCTTGCCACATTCATTGCAATTAAAAGGCTTTTCTCCAGTGTGGACAGTTTGGTGCCGAACAAGTGAATACTTGAGCTTGAAGGCTTTCCCACACTGATTACACTCATAGGGTTTTTCTCCAGTGTGGATTCTCTGGTGCTCAACAAGTTTAATTTTGACCTTGAAAGCTTTCCCACATTCACTGCACTCATAAGGCCTTTCTGCAGTGTGAACATTTTGGTGTTTACTGAGGGCAGAGCTGCTTGTAAAGAACTTCCCACATTTACACCCATAAGCCTTTTCTCCAGTATGACTTCTCTTATGCACAACAAGACTTCCTTTGTAGACATAGGCTTTTCCACATTCACTGCACATATAAGGCTTTTCTCCGGTGTGGATTCGCTGGTGATCAAGAAGCCTTTTTTTGAAGACGAATGACTTCCCACATTTGCTACATCCATAAGGCTTTTCTCCAATATGGATCCTCTGATGCACAAGATTTTTTTTGTAAAGGAAGGGCTTCCCACATTCACTGCTCTTATGAGGATTTTCTCCAGTGTGGACTTTTTGGTGCCTAACAAGTGTATCCTTTTGAAGGAAAGCTTTCCCACATTGATTACACTCATAGGGTCTTTCTCCAGTGTGGATTCTCTGGTGCTCAACAAGTTTATATTTGTGGGCAAACACTTTCCCACAATTAGGGCACTCATGAAGCCTTTTTCCTGTGTGAACCTTCCTATGGTGAGTAAGACTGGAGGTGAGTCTAAAGAACTTTCCACAGTCACTGCACTCATAAGGTTTTTCACCAGTGTGAACTCTCAGGTGCTCCATGAATTTATACTTCTTACTGAAGGCTTTGCCACATTCATTGCACGCATAATGCCCTTGCCCAGGGTGAGAGACCTCCCTGCTCTGCCTGCTTCTACCTGGGTGCTCTCCATCGTGGGACGGCTGGTGATAGGGAAAGCCCAAGCTGCTTAGGAACGCCTTCTCAACCTCTCCACATGTGAACATATTGTCGGGTAAAAAGACTTTGCAGCTCGTCATAAGCAAGGCTCCATTTTCCTCGCTTCTGAGGTGTTTCTCTTCACTGGGCTGCTTCTGGTGATGTTGTAGGTGAGAAGTGAACATTTTCCCACAGGCCCCAGAAGAGGATGGTTTCAGCCCAGAATGCACTCCTTGGTGCTCAGCCAGGTACAAAACATATTTCTCTACCAGGGCACCCGTATCCGAAGTAAGAGTCTTCAGGATAGATGGGTCTGGATTTGGATTCCTGTCTTGTGTCACTAGTTCTACAGAAACACATTGTTCAGAAGCGGCCTCCTCAGTACCTACTGCACACCAACACCCTGAAAGCACAAAAATGCTGATAAACTGTATGGAGACGTTGGTGGTACAGGAGTCCACTACAAATCTGTGCATGACACATGTAGGTATAAGCCCGTGGGTTTGTTATTAAAACAAGGGAGGAAGGGTCAAGTGGTAGAAGGGGATACTGTGCAATACTAGGGCTCTGATGGTCACAGAATAGGAAATGTCTCAAACCCGCAAGAACACAGGATACCAGGATGTCACGCCGTGCTGGGAGGAGAGGCTAGAACAACTCACTCCTCAGCCAATGGCTTTCAGCAGGACTTTCTGGTGGTGACAAGGGTCAGCTCTGTAGAATGTGTGTCTCAATCCAGGAAAATGCAATTACACCTGACTATCAGTGTTCAAAGACAATATAAGTAAACATGTACCTCTCATGATACATTAAGGATATGCATATACAATATACAAAATACATAAAATTGGAGAACAGTGCAGACAGGGGGAAAGAAGAGGTGTGGAGGACACTAAGGTGGAAAACAGGAGTCAGAAATCACAGTAGAAATGAAAAGTGGGCAAAGTGTCAAAATGGGGAGAAGTGGAAGAAAGAAATGAAGTATGAGCATGATGAGTCATGACATTGAAAGAGGAGAGAGCAAAGGACATTTCCCTGTAGGATTAGAACTCATCAATGATATCATGCCTTCCTACAGCTCCTGCTCACCAGGCTCAGGATGCAATTAACCCTCGTCCTATGACTAGAGAGGGGCCTACCTTGTCAGGCACCCAGGGTTGCCTCCACCTCTCAGCTCAGGCTGGGTGACTATGAGCCCTACCAGATCAAACTCCTCAGAGGAAAATAGGGCCATTAGGAGAAAGACACTGGCCCAGAGTGAACCAACCAATGACAGATTTCAGGGAAAAAAATGTATCACTAGAAGAACCTTAAGGAGTCTTGCAAAAATAATCTAGGGTTGACCACAAATGCTGACCATGTAAGTGTCTGTAATTCCTGACACAGGCAGTGCAAAAAAAAGGGTTAGAATGTGTGACACAGATCTTGCACACATCTGAACAGTCAACACACCTAGCAGTGGCAAAGCTAAGTGGCATCAGCTGGACAGGCTTCAAGCCTCTGAGACCAAAGACTTCTGTCAAAGGCTTCAGAGCCTATGGTATAGGGCTGAACACACAGAGAGTGGGGGAACGCAGCTCAAGTGCCAGGAAATCGGGGAAGTAAGCAATGTCCAAGGTCCAGGCTCGGAAGGATGGAGTGAGCCATGCAAAAAGAAGGGCAGAGTCCCATACGGGGCAATGGTGTGGGAACAGGGGTCCTTACCCAGGGAGGCTATAAGTGACAGGTTCTCCAGCATCACGTCACAGTACAGGAGTCTCTGAGCATCGTTAAGGAGACCCCACTCCTCCTGGGAGAAGGACACAGCCACATCCTCAAAGACCACATGGCCCTGTCATGAGGGGGACAAGTGAGTTCACAGCAGCCTCTGCAACCAGGACCCCAGGTCATGGTCGTCTACCCCAGTGACCCAGCTCAGAGGACACACCAGGTCCTCATGTCACAGGAACCTGCTAGCATTACATCATTCAGTTAAAACAGAGAAGGAGACAAGCAGTCTCACAGATGCTTTGGGCCTGCCACACAGAACCCCAGCCACTCTCCTCAGAGTCGACTCTCCTGAGATCAAACAGACCACCCCACATACAATGACACTTGTGCTCAGCCCCCTGGAGTAAAGTGTGGGGATAAAGGCCCTGAGTCCATGCTCACACTCCCTCCCTCTCCATTGCCCAGCCCTGCAGGGTCACAACTCTCTCACGTGCCCGACCGTGACCCCCACGCCACCAACTCAGCCTCAGGCCTTCGGCACCTCACTCTGTTCCCCACGTGCCACCCAGAAGGTGGTGCTTCCCCAGGCCTCTGCAGGACCCGCTACTACAGGTGGTCCCAGCACTGCTTTCCATACCCCCACAAGGCCTTGGTCCCTTTTCCCACATCAGCACCCAGACATTGTGCGGGGTCAGATGCCCGGAGCCCTAGTCCTCCACAGTGTCCCATGTGCTGACCCCGCAGCACTCACCCCTTCCTCTCTCTGCTCCTCTCATTCCAAGCCCCCCCCACCCCCCAGCCCAGCCCAAGACCCTGTCCCAGCTGCGCTCCTCTGCCCTCAGCTGGTCTGTCATCCAGTCTCACATTCTTCAGGTTCCAACCACAGTCATCACAAAACTTTGAACCTGTGGAGGGGAAACAATGTCCCAGGCCTTACCTCCTTGTCATCTGACCTCCATTCCTGCTTAGCTTCTGGATCCATACCTTATCCACCCTTTTGAATCCTGTGCCACGACAAGGACTTCCCCTGAGGCCACTTGCACCTCCCACACACTCATGGTCACTGCACTGCCTCATCCATCTTAGTGATGACAGCCACCCCTGTCCCCGTGCCCAGGGAGGTGAGCCAGTCCACGGAGAACACCCTCCCCACCCTACAACTTTCATGGCATGCACACATGACCTGAGGGCCTGGAATCTGACATTGTCCACATGCCATCCACCTGCTAAGGGGTATCTTCAATCCTGAACCCCACCTTCCCTGAACTCCAGGTGTGTTTCCAATGGCCAAGTTGACACCTCCTGTGAGACACCCCGGCAATATCTCAGACTCAGCACGGAACACGGAACTCTGGAGAGTCCTTCTGTCCATTACTCCTACTTTCGACTTCCCATCTCAGACATGGTGTCCCCACCATCACTTAGAGGCAAACATCCTGGGGTCATGTCAGACTACTCTCTCTCATCCTGTACAGCAGAAAATCAGGTGTACCACAAACGAGATTGAGAAACTCACCTCCTCTCCTGCTACAGAGCCATTGCCAGGATCTAGCCACAATCGACATTCACCAGGACTGTGCCTTCCACTGGACCCCTGGCTCCTTCGCACCCCCCCCACCACCACCGTCTTCTTCCTCTCGGCAGGCAGAGCAGCTTCTTCAGACCCAGCGTCAGATCACTTCCCTCCTCTGCGGCCAACATGGCATGGACCCGCCCCTTCAGGAGAGGCCCAGCTCGTCAGGCTCCCATCCCAGGAATGACTCATGACTTCAGTCTTTATCAGCCCAAGTCATGGGTCCTGCAGTTCCCTGAACACTCCCCTCTCAGTCTCATCTCCAGGCTGTGCCCAAGGACATGTCACCACTTGACCTTCTCCACTGGACACATGGGAACACCTCTGTACAACTTCTGGCTTTGATTAATGGTCCTGTGCCTGAGATGATGCCAGGGCCCAGACCTAATGGCCCATAATCCCAGGACAACACTGTCTCCTATATCTGTGTGTCAGGACCAGGGGTAGGGATGACATCTGGGTAGGTACAGGGGCTTCTTCCACTTACCTGTCCAGGGACCATAAATGCTGCTGCTACCATGGGAACCTGCGAAAAGAGGGAGTATCTGAGGTAAAGGTGATTATGGTGAGGATGTAAAGGCTGAGCTGTTTTTTCCCTTCCTTTTCCTGGACATGAGTCATCTGAGGCTGACCTCTGACCTCAGATCCTCACTCTTCAGAGCTATAGCTTGACAACTCGATAGGCTTAGACAAAGGCTCAACGTCCTTGGGACTTCCCTGGCAGTCCAGTTTTTAAGACTTCAATCTTCCACTGCAGGGAGCCCGGGTGCCATCCCTGGTTGGGGAACTAAGATCCCACATGCCATGGGGCATGGCAAAAAAAACCCACCCACCCTCTTTGAGTCTCAGTGTGTTCATGTAAACGGCAAAACTTAGGATGTCTATCTCATAATGTGTACATACCAAATGCATTATTACCTCTCCCATGCTAAGATTCAGCTATTACAGAACACAGGATTAGGATTTCTATAAATGTTTTTGAAAATTAGGTTTTTCTTACATGTCTCTCAAGGCTTTCTGAGACAAAGTATCTTTTTTCAACCACCAATTATCTAATTTTATGACACCACCCTGGTGCCCTACAATTCATTCCTATTATTACACTACCTGAAATTAGTAATAGAATCCACTGGTTTAAGGCATCAGGCCCATAAACTGCCCTCTTTTGAGAAGCCAGTTCCGATCCCTGGTCCCCAGGCTACCAGGACTCTGTCCCACTTAGCTACAAATTCAGGGTTTCCCATAAACCCCTCCTCGGTTTTGATAATTTGCTGAAATGACCCATGAAGTTAGGAAAACACTTTTCTTACATTTTCTGGTTTACTGTAATGTATACAGTTTATGAACAGTCAAATGGAAATGACGTCTACATCAGGGTGGGGGAGGTAGAGGGCATCAGGGGGTTTCCAGGCCTTTTCAGTACATGCCACCCTCCCAGCACTTCCACCATTTCAATGTGTTCACCAATCTGAAGGAACCTTGAACTTCATTGTTCAGCAGTTTTTATACCTAATCTCCAGATCCTTAGGAGTTGCCGGGTAGGTCTGGGAGTTGAAACTTCTAATCACTTGTTTTTTCTAGAGAGCAGTCCCATCCTGAGGGTATCTGGAGAATCCACCCTATGTCACTTCATTATAATAAACTTCCACGTGATAAAAAGGGCTAGTTGTGAATAACAAAAAACAGTCCTAATTCCCAGACAATTCTAAGAGGTTCAGAGCTCTGTGAAGAACTCAAGACAAAACCTAAACATATATATATTATTATAACACAGATATATATTCTCATTTTAAGCAGTTATTACTTGCTTACACAAGATTAACTTGCTAAATCTATACATTTTTAACCTTGTAGTTTCCTGGGAGAGCTGAGGCACGTGTGCCCTTGACTGGGCCTGGGCTGCTCCACCAGCATGGCTGACCTTTTTCTGACTCCACAAGGAGTGGGCAGTCGGCTGAGTGTTCAGAACAGTGAATCTATACAATCTCAAAACTCCTTCTCCATCTCCATCTCAGGCAAGGCTCCTTACTCCTTATACCCTTGCTTCCCCAGAAAGCCCTGGAACCACAGGACCCTCTCATCTTCAGGCAGCCTCAGAAAGTCCCACCCCGTTTGCCCTGCCCTCCAGCCCCAGGTCTCTCTACTTTCATCTGAGGTCTCCTTGCACAGAAAAGTGACAAGACTTTCCCTCCTAAATTTGAGTCCAGACATGGCCAGAGTCCAGGACTTAGGCTGTCACCACATGGACATTGCTGAGCTAGCGACCTCCTCCCCCAATTCCAGATTAGGGACTCCAGCAGCCCCTGTGTCACAAATTGGCCCTGACTGTTAACTCCTTACTTTTTTTTTTTTTTTTTTGGCTGCCCCACACGACTTGCAGGATCTTACTTAGTTCCCCCACCAGGGGTTGAACCCAGAGCCACAGCAGTGAAAGCACCAAGTGCTAACCACTGGACCACCAGGGAACTCCCTCCAAAATCAAATTTTAATCTCTCCCTGACATGTCTTCCAGATGCTCAGCCAAAAGAAAAACTTTATTGTCCTTTACTCTGTCCTTTTGCTTAGAACAACATTCATTGCCAATTATCTTGCAGATTTATTATGAACCTTATTATTTGTATTCCTTTGTAAAAAATTAATAAACAGAAACCTCAGTTAGAGTCGGCACACCAGAAGGGGGAGCCCTCACTGACCTGAGACAATAATAGTATCCAAAAGGAAGAAGACGACTCTCTTCTCTCCTGGAAAGGACTCAGACAACGAAAAGCCATGGACTCTTTGGTGACTATAGCCCTTCTAACTTCCTTCTTTAATCTCTATAAAAGTTTTAGTTCATCATGGCCGCACATCTCAATTGCAATTCCCTGATGATCCCGAAAAAAACTCATCTTTGCAGAAGAAATAGTCAGGAGGCTATTTGTTTCAGGTCAATAACTTCCATAGGCACCACTCTGGTCCAGAAAACAACTTACTCTCTGGAGTGGAATGCACTAGGCTCTCCCAGGTCTCCCCTGCCTCCACCCTCAGCTCCCCCTTCCCAGTCTGTTCTCCCCTGAGCAGCCTTTGAAATACTTTAAAACTAACTCAGTGTGTCTTTCTGATTTATTCACAACCCTCCATGACTTCCAGAATGCCGACTGTTGGCCCAGAAGGGCTCATATGACTCCTCCATAATGCCACGTTTCTGAAGAAGGGACTCCAACCCCAGGTTTCCAGAATGTTCCCTGCTCTTGTGACTCTCCAAGGATTTGCACGTGCCAAGGCCCCAGCCTTTAACACTCTCCACACGGCCTGTCAGAAATAGGGCCACCACACACGCACACCTAAAGTTCTGGAGACAGGCGCCTGAACCGCAGTGCCCTGAACAGGAGTCCCTCATTGGAGGCTTGAGGATTCGGGTCAGGATCTGGGGGACCCAACAGTCACCTGGGTCGTGTAAGGTCCCTTGGCCCGGGTGAAAGGAGGCCCGGGGGGGGGGTAAGAATAAACATCGACCAGTATGAGGTAGGAGAGGCATTGGGACATAATGACCTCACCTGTTCTGGGATCAACAAGAGACTCTAACTTCCTGCCCAGAAAACAATGGGGCTGAGGGGAAGGGAAAATGGGCTTACGCCCCACAACAGACCAACCAACACCTGGCCCTGCTGTATCCTCACCAAATAAGGAATTACCCTGTATAGCAAACCATCCCCTCCCCTTGCAAGCCGCCTTCTGCTTTTACTCCAATAAAAATCCCCCTCATCCAGTACTGGGCGCGACTTCTCTGACCCCTTTCTCTCGGACCAGTGAACCTCGCCCGGGAGCGCTTCCTAATAAAGCTCACTTGAAGCTTTCCTCTGTTTCGCGGTGCCGTTTGTTAAGATCCGACCTTACAGGTCGGGTCTTGTAGCGCGCTGGTTGCCGTAGGACCCGTTGAGCGCGGCGGGATAATGGTGGTAATGTGGCCCGAATATTCCGGAAGCAGGTTCCGCATCCCGCTCACTCCCGCGGAGTGTGGACGGCGTCCCCTCGAGCTTTTTCCAGTTTCCGTTACCTGGGCTGCGCCTAGTGATCTAGAGCTTTGGGTCCTGCAAACGCTGCAAAGACCCCAAACCGCCGCCAACAGAAAGACACCGGAAGTTCCGTCCCCTCGTATTTCACAATCCCGGAAGAACCTCTGTTTGGGGCCTTCATTGGTGCGGAGAACAAGCCGATCCGCGCACAGTCTTCTAGGTAATGTAGTTCCCCTCAAGCCACCGAGTGCGGTGCGGACTAGACCCACCCCCAACCTGTTTGGGCATTAATGGGCCAAGTAGGTGCGGGAAGGACAAATTAAAAACGCGTCAAGGGATTTCCCTGGCGGCACAGTTGGTAAGACTCCGGGCTTCCACTGCAGCGGGGCGGGTTCGATCCCTAGTCAGGGAAATAAGATCCCCCAAGGTGCATGGCGCGGCCAGGAAAAAAATGTATTTACAGCACCTGAAACTAAGGGAACCTTGTAAATCGACTATATTTCAAATTAAAAAAAAAATTAAATAAAACACATAAAATTAGACCCAGCAAAGCCTGTATCCATAACATTTATAAAATTCTGCTTTAGCTCGTATTTCTCAGCATAAAGCTTTATATAGGATTAGAAAAAAATGCATTCCAGTTGTGAAAAGACTGAGACAAGCCACAGTCCTTATTTGTTGTTTTTGTTTCTTTATGAAAATCTTGGAAGAGTTTTCAAGTAAGAAAAATCAATTCAATAAGATTTTGGAATGAAAAAGGGAATTATATGCAACAAAATATCTCGGTGTGCTTCATTATTGTCTAAAATAATAACTACATAAAGTTAGATAACATTAGTCTATCGTTGATACTGTCCACCTCAGTAAACCTGAGAGGCAGTAATCAAGCACAACATATTTACTTGGGATCACAGAATTGCAATTCGGGACACGCATTCAAGTAGCAACCCAAAAGGTATTCTGCTAGGGAGTAAAATACAGGGGATTTTAAATGCAAAGAGAGTTTTGTATTACAGAATTTTAATTGGAATTGGAGACAGAAGCTAGTCTTGGTTGAACGGGATTGTGTACTAAGACTATCACTAGAGGGGAGTAATAGTCCATTAGTGTGACAAGTTGCAAGTGTTATTGCAGAGTCCTTGGAATATTTGCAGGTTGGCTCAGATCTAAAGTTCATGGTTTCACCAGGTGGGGAGGTGCAGGATGTCCACTAATTAATAGCCTCCCAGCTCCACGTTAAAACCCCTTGACATCAGTGATTCCATTTTATTTCACATTCTACAACACTATTAATTTGTCATGCCTTGCAGGAGTTCTCAAAGCAAATATAAAAATTTTCACAGCATATGCACAAACTATATGATAATAGCAGGCTTCTTTTATTTAAAAAAAATTAAAATTGAAACAAGAAAAAAACACTTTAAGAAGATATTGAGCTACCTATAATTTTAAAAGAGTTAAAATATAAATAATAAATTCAATAAGTACTACTATTTTTTTTAAGTTCTACAAATTAAAAAGAGGAAGATTTAAAACCTCACTGCCGGCTTGCATGATCTTAGTTCCCCACATAGGGATTGAACCCAGGCCCACGGCAGAGTCCTAACCACTGGACCACCAGGGAGCTACTGAAGGCAACATTCTTTTTCTTTTTTTAATTTATTTATTTTATTGATTTATTATATTTGGCTGCACTGGGTCTTCGTTGCTGCGCACAGGCTTTCTCTAGTTGCAGGTAGCGGGGGCTACTCTGTTGCGGTGTGCGGGCTTCTTGTTGCGGTAGCTTCCCTTGTTGCGGAGCACGGACTCTGGGCACATGGGCTTTAGTAGTTGCAGCATGTGGGCTCAGTAGTTGTGGCTCACAGGCTTCAGTAGTTGTGGCTCGTGGGCTCTAGGCGCGCAGAGTCTGTAGTTGCGGCTCACAGGCTTAGTGGCGCCACAGCATGTAGGATGTTCCCGGACCAGGGATCGAACCCGTGTTCCCTGTATTGGCAGGCAGATTCTTAACCACTGTACCACCAGGGAAGTCCCTAAATTTATTTATTTATTTATTTATTTATAAATTAAAAAAATTTTTTTTCCGTACGCGGGCCTCTCACTGTTGTGGCCTCTCCTGTTGCGGAGCACAGGCTCCGGACACGCAGGCTCAGCGGCCGTGGCTCATGGGCCCAGCCGCCCCGCAGCATGTGGGATCCTCCCGGACCGGGGCAGGAACCCGTGTCCCCTGCATCGGCAGGCGGACTCTCAACCACTGCTCCACCAGGGAAGCCCCCTAAATTTATTTTTAACATAAGCCCCACCATATAATTTTTCCGGCAAATTTGTTCAATATATTACCCTTTCCCCCTTACATGCCTTTGGCAACTTTACAGGAAATAAATTGACATTATTAGGGTTTGTAAATATCTACATTCTCTACGCTTTCCCATTGTTCTAAAGTTAGTGTAGATATACAGTAAATTCTTAAATAAGAAGAAAAATATTTTCATATTTCTTGTTTTCAAAACATCCTTCATTCTGCTCAGCCAGCTGGTAAGTGTCTGTGTCCAGCCCTAACTCAGATCCTAATTCTGTTCCGAATGCCCATCCACCTCCTCAATCCAAAGCGTCCACTTGAATGTCTCAAACACACCATGAACTCATCATGAATAACAGAAATTCATTCCCAATTTCAGTGAATAGTCTTGCCATCCAAACAAGTCTGAAATTCAGATTCATCCTTTGGCCATAATACTCCACACACAATGTTAAGAAATTGTGACTGTATCACATAAGCCTGTTCTGATGTCTGGGTGTCTCTCTTTTGTGTTTGGTTTCCAATGTTATTAGCGTTTCTCTCCAGGTACCAAGTTTCCATGCATCTTTTATCTATTGTATTTTTATCTATTTTATCTATTGTATCAGCATGCACTGATGTCGTTGATTATTTTATAAGCTGTTGAAACATTTCACCTACTTCTACTGCTATTTCTGCATTTATTAGCTAGAAATCCTCTGTAAAGAAGAGTTTTTCCATAATCTTCCGTTCAGTTACCTCAAAATACAGTTTGTAAAGATCAGGGAGGCAAGAGCTTGATCCCTCAACTCTATTTAGCAATTTTTCAGGATAATTATTTGGACCACTAACATCATGCTCAAACAATAATGAAATGTTTATCTCAGGGATAAGGTGCCCCTGTTGCACACATGCTAAGACTGTGATCGTGGTAGCCACTCTCCTAGTAGGAATAAGCATTTAGTAAGTGGCTCTTCTTTTCAGATAAGTCTCTTATTTTATTTTATTATTTTAAAAAATGTTTATTTATTTATTTAGGCTGTGCCCTGTCTTAGTTGCAGTGCGTGGGATCCTCGTTGTGGCATGTTTAGTTGTGGCATGCGAGATCTTTTTTAGTTGTGGCATGTGGGCTGTTAGTTGCAGCTTGCGGACTCTTAGTTGCGGCATGGGAACTCTTAGTTGTGGCATGCATGGGGGATCTAGTTCCCCGACCAGGGTTCGAACCCAGGCACCCTGCATTGAGAGCATGGAGTACCCACTGGACCACCAGGGAAGTCCATCTTATTTTATTTTATTATTTATTTATTTATTTGGCTGCACCATGCAGCAAGCAGGATCTTAGTTTCCCTCCCAGGGATCGAGCCCATACCCCCCACATTGGGAGTGCTGAATCTTAAGCACTCGACTGCCAGGGAAGTCCCAGATAAGTCTCATATTTTAAAATTAATTTTATCTGTTTTAGTCCATTCGAACTGCTGTAAGAAAACATCATATACTGGGTGGCTTATAATCAACAGGCATTTATTTCTCACAGCTCTGGAGGCTGGAAGTCCAAACTCAAGTTTCCCATGGATTCAGTGTCTGGTGAGAGCCCACTTCCTGTTTCATAGAAAACCTCCTTTTCCTTGCCATGTCCTCACATTGTAAAAGAAGTGAACTTTCCGGGCCCTCTTTTATAAGGGCACAGTTCCTTTCATGAGGGTAGAGCCCTTCTGACCTAACCACCTACCAAGTATCCTATGTCCTAATATCATGACATTAGGCATAAAGTTTTGAACATAAGAATTGAGGGGAAAACAAACATTGAGACCATAGCAGTATCTATTTCAGGAAATTGAGTAAGAAATATATGGAAAAAATAGTTGGACTTGCTGGGGTTTCAACAGAAACACTGAGATGTACTCATGCAGGAAAGAATTATTTTGTGTGGGAAACGGGCAGAATACCACATCATCTACTTCCTACTTGGCATCCTGACAGATATCATCCATTTCCCCTGTCATGATCTTGGCTTAACTCTTTTTTAATTGTTCCTTGATTGCACATACTGAAGCCTACAAAATTATCTCTGAAGCTTTGAGCTACATAGAGTTGAAGAGCAGTGCAGTTTATTGGGAATTCCCTGGCAGTCCAGTAGTTAGGACTTGGCACTTTCACTGCCATGGCTCCAGGTTTGATCCCTAGTCGGGGAACTAAGATCCCCGAAATCCGTGCAGCCCGGCCAGAAAAAAAAAAAAGCATGCAGTTTGTGACTGAGTGACATTGCAGCGTGTGCATTCAGGTTTTCCTTTGTGTTCCTGTTGGCTGAATGCAGTCTACAAAACAATATCTCCCTTTAAAGGGAATACCTCTTCAAAAAACAGAGGGACAAAATAAAGATGCTTGGATAATAACATATGCTTAAAATTATAATTTATGTCAAAGCACCCTCATTTAAAAAAAATCTACCCTATATTTTCCCAACTTACTTTTGATGAACTTCATCAAGTTATTTAAAAGTTTATAGAAAAGATTTCACTACTGTCCATCTTTTTCAGGGACACCAACCTCTTCCTCCCCAACATCCCAGTAATGGCCATGTGTGAAGCCCTTTCTCTCTTGACTCTGAGCAAACATACTGAAACTGAGAAAACTGATTGTAAAACTTCCATCCACATGTATTTGAAAAGGAGCAAGATAATGTTTATTAGTTTGCAGCTATGAGTGAAGGTACTTTGTATCTGAGTGATATCATACCATGTGTTAATCCCCCATATGGTGAAGAGAGAAATAAGTCTCACTTGTGGGGTCTTTATGGAGCACTACAACACAGTTGTGGAAATTGTACCCTTAGAGCCATATAAAGGATTTATTATATTCACAGGTCCTAGAAGAGACTGGCATGCCACCCCACACAGGAGCTATATAGGAGGAGCACCTGGAGAGCATTCTCAACAAAGCAGAAGAGTGGGCCCCCCTAGGTAAGTGCCATTACTGGGGATCAGGGCGGAGTACCCAGGCAGAAGTCATGGGGGGGTTTCATTGGTGGGTTGGAATGTCACTAAGTCATGGGAGGACAAGAAGGGGAACTTGAGTTGGGGCCACAGCCTCATCACTCTGGTGTACCCAGTCACCCGGGGTGGGGTGGTGGGGTGGGGATGTGCTCATAGCCAGTCTGTGGGGATGTTGAGGCAGCAGAATACGAACATTAAAAAATTTACAATACAGTATGTCCACTTGTTATGTTCCGAGCATCTTAAGTGACAAGATGCAAAAAACACAACAGGGAAATCTGGATCGTTCCCTTTAGGAACATCCCATGCCTCGCCTCCTTCATTAGAGCCTCTGCATTTCCTTTGCCAGCTCCTCTCCAGGCCTCTGGGCCCCAGGCTCCTAGAAGAAACAGACACACCCTCTCCCGGCCGGCTGCAGAACAAGAACTACGCTACCACGTGCGCCACAACCAGAGAAGCCCGCGGGCCCCAACGAAGACGTAGCGCATAATGAATGAATGAGTGAATAAATAAAATATTTTTTAAAAAAGAACCACACTACCCAGCAGGCTGTGCTTTGCGGGATGGCTGTGAGGGTCGGACTGATGGCGTCACAGAAAAGGGGCGTTACTGGCTCGCGTTGTCAGGGGCGGGACTTCCTGCGCCGGAGGAGCGGGCTTTTCTTTGTGGTGAGGCTGGTGTGTCCACACCCACTACGAGCTCTTCCCGGGACTTAGGGACGGAGCGGGGAGGACAGCCTGGAGGGCCCACCTGTGCCTTTGTACGACCTGGGGGAGTGTCAGCTAAGCCCGCTGGACCCGCCGGTCTCCGGCGCCCTCATGTGGCCCTACGCTCCCCGCGGTGCGATGGCGGCGCTGGTGACCCCGGCGCAGGTGAGTGGAAGGTGCGCCAGGCCACGCCCGCTAGGACCCCACCACGTGGCCGAGGCGCGCTGCTGTGCAGGATGGTGGTGTCCTGTGAGTCGTCACCTTGTCCTCCCCAGGGCATTGTTTGTCGGAGCCTCAGGATGGGGTCGCTTGTGCTCCGGGTGGGAACCCAGGTTAGAAGCTTCACGCGGAGGGTTCCATTTCTGTCAGTCAGTGGGACGCTGTGTGGTAGGGAGAGATGTGGTTTCTCGAATCTCCCTGACCCCATACCGCTGGCGTGGAAGGACCCGCAGGGAGGAGCGCAGACCGCACAGTCCGGAGACATTTCTGTGTGTTGCGGCCCCGCCCCTTCCCGAGTCTAGGACCTTGAGCAGCTTTCCCTGTTGCCCTTGGCTTCTGTTTTCTCGGGCACAAAACAGGAATATTAAAGTTCCTCCAACTGGGTTTGAGGGAACTAGAAAAAGCACATGGGTGACGTGTATCCCCCCGCGTCCAGCACGGTGCAGGGAGCATCGCTCTGGTTTTCTTTCCACGGAGGTGCCTCTTGAGCCTTTGTTGATGTTAGAGGCTCATTCCTGGGAGAATCTGACCCTTGGGCTTCCCAGCTGTGTAACCTCTACAGAGATAAGGGCTGGGGTGGGGAAGAGGCAGGAGTAGCCTGCAGCAGCTTGGGGATTGCAGCCCTGCTAGGATAGAAAAGGTGTCAGGAGGGACAGGGCGCCCAGGTCAAGGAATTTGTCTTTCAGTTTACAGCCAGTCGAACTGGCTTCCCACTGAATCTGTTTTCCTGTTTGAGGTTCAGTTACATATGATAAGTGGTGATAGTGTGCAGGAGTGTGGTGTCCCTTTGGACATGAAAACACAAGAGGTCCTGGGTAATTCCATAGCCGTGACCCTGAGTACCCTCATCAGAGTCCTGATCGCTGTCAGGACTTGTCTTATTTGTTAACTTCCCATTCACTTGGCTCCTTCCTCACTTTATATCAGACTCACTCCAGTGTGCTGTCCTGAAAGAGGCTTTTCGTGGTGCCCTGTCTAAAGCAGACTGTAACCTCTTGTCATCTCGCGCTATTTTCTTGACTTTGGAATCTTTGGGTCCCTGTGACATTGTCTTGCTCATTTATTTAGTTGCTTGTTTAGGATCTCTTCCCAGCCCCTGAGCATGAGCACCTGTTGCTGCTCAGGACCTAGAACAACAGCCTGGGCTTATAAAACGTACTCAACAAATGGTTCAGTGAATGAATGGGTCTCCCCCTCAGGTGCCTGCCTCACACTTATAATAAATACAGTATTTCTCCCAACTATGTATGGCCCACAGTGCTCTCTCTACTTGATCTGCCCCTTGCTTACCCCCAAGATTTTTTCCTTCCATTTTTCCCTCACTCACCGCACACAGCCAGGCAGTCCTGAACTTGTAAAACTCCTGCCCAGTTTCCAGCTTCAACTTGCACTTCTCTTTGCCTGGGGCCCTGTTCCCAGATCTCTGCAGGGCTATCTCTCCCCACCCTTCCTGTGCATCAGTGTCACCTCTTAGGATAGTCTTTTCCTGGCTGTTTCATAATAATTCTGGCTAAGGTACCCCTGCCCCCACCTGCCAATCTTCTGGCAACTCTGTTCCCGCTTTTACTGGATGTTCAATTCCCACTTCTGCTCCTTAAATTTGAGGTTGTGGCTGATTTTCTAGAGCTGCCTGGGGCTCAGACCTCTGGCTGTGACACGGAGGTGATGATGGCATTTACCTCATGGGCCGTGGGAGGATTAGTAAGAGTCACAAAATACATTGAACACGTAACTGTGCTAGGCAGTCCAGCATCTCACATGTAAACATTTTCTCTTTAGTTCTCCAAACGGCCTGGTGAAGTGGGACTGATTGTTCTATTGATGCAGAAATCGAGGCTTAGAGAAATGATGGGATGTCCTCCCTGTGGTCGCACTGGCAGGAAGTGTCGAATTCCAGAGTGTTGATTCAAACCCTGGAAGTCTGGCTCCCGAGCAAGGAATCTTATTGTGTAAAGGCCTCAACTTGGGGCAGGTGCACTGTGAGGACCAGGGAGGCTTAGGTGCTATCACTTTGCTGTTACCATTGTTGGAATTATCATCATGATCATTTTCCCAGAGCACTTAACATCTCTCCCCAGTCCTCATGGAACACCACTGTCTGTGTCACTGTGCCACTGTCTGTGTCATCTCCAGTGACTTCCTTCATGGGAGGCTTTTCTCTCAGCCACAATTGCATTATGCCTCAAGGTTGCATCTGCTTCCCCCTTGAGCTCAACACAGAACTTGGCGATCCAGAGGCCTCGGTGATTCAAGCCTGGGTCTCTCTGCATCTTCACCAGCAACAGAGTGACAGGGTTGATCCCAGCCAAGTGCACAAGGCCAACACTACTACCTGTGTTTGACTCTCCAGGTGGTGGTGACCTTTAAGAATGTGGCTGTGACCAAGAGGAGTGGGGACAACTTGACCTGGACCAGAAGACTCTGTACCAGGAGGTGATGCTGGAGACCTGTGAGCTACTGTTCTCACTGGGTAAGTGCTCAGCTCTCACACCTGTGGGGGACCCCACCCACCTTGTTTCTGGGCTGATCAGGAAGGACACAGGAGTCACCTTTCCTCCTCCCCACAGGCCCTGCAGTTTTCTGGTCCCTTCTCCTGCCTGGTCTCGCTGTGTCTGTAGCAGTGATTGGTGGGATAGAAACAATGTCCTTCTGAACACCAGCCCCCATCCCAGTGCCCAGCACCCTTGGGCCTCAGTCTGAGGTCCCTGTTCCTGATTCCCCAGGAGGGAAGCTGACTGGCCCAGCCTGCTGAAGTCAGGTGCCCCCACAGCCCAGTTAGCAGGGCTGTTCTCAGAAGAGAGGGTGAGTCAGGCAGACCCCTACATGGCATTTGTCATCAATGCCACCCAGGGATCTTCCTAAACGGCACAATCTTGGTTCAAAGGTCCCTGGTGTCTACATGATCCTCACATGTTTCCTGTGGCCTGGGCAGATTGCTATGTGGCAATACTTGGAGGGCCAGGGAAAGATTCCCCAGGAAGCTGTATAGGCTCTGAATCATCAAACAACAAATAGGACTGTTTGTCCCATGGCCTGGATTGATGCGTCCAGGAATCAAGGGGTAGATATGTGAGTGGCACCACTGACAGTTATCCATAGAGAGGCACTAGGGAAAATTTTTGCTTCCTGTCTTCATGAAGCACTGATTGTGTAGAGGTCTTAGTTGCAAAGGGAAGAGTGCTTTCACTACTGCAGTAGAATGATTCCATTGTCCTGGAGAGTAACACTGCCAGTCTGCCACTTGCACTACTCATGCTTCTGAATCAACAGGAAAAGTAAGAGTTACTGTGCTGGCTCTGGTGATTGAATGTGATTATCAGGTGCAAATTGGACTATACTTCCCACTGGTACTTGCACAAAGGAAGTGTGTGTCTGGAATGCAGAGATCCCTTAAGATGTTTTGTCATGACTTATGGTAAAGTCAATGGAAAACTATCCACAACCTACTTCAGGCAGGACAACTCATGGCCCAGACCCTTCAGGAAAGAATGCTTTGGTCACCCCACCAGAGAATAAAAAATAATCATTCGAGGGCTTCCCTAGTGGCACAGTGGTTGAGAGTCCTCCTGCCGATGCAGGGGACACGGGTTCGTGTCCCGGTCCGGGAGGATCCCACATGCCGTGGAGCGGCTAGGCCTGTGAGCCATGGCAGCTGAGCCTGCGCGTCCGGAGCCTGCATGCCACAGCGGGAGAGGCCACAACAGTGAAAGGCCCCTGTACCGCAAGAAAAGAAAAGAAAAAAAGACCATTTGAGGTGCTGCTGAGGACAAAAGGAGCATGGAGTGGATTGTGGAAGAGCTACATATTAGTTAGCTCATGTGACCATTAACAGAAGTGAGGATAGTAATCAGTAATGTCGTGAGTAATTCTTCCTAATTTTTTTTTTTTTTCGGTACGTGGGCCTCTCACTGTTGTGGCCTCTCCCGTTGCGGAGCACAGGCTCCGGACGCTCAGGCTCAGCGGCCATGGATCACAGGCCCAGCCGCTCCGCGGCATGTGGGATCCTCCTGAACCAGGGCACGAACCCGTGTCCCCTGCGTCAGCAGGCGGACTCTCAACCACTGCGCCACCAGGGAAGCTCCAGCCAATATCTTTTTCTTCCTTCTTTCACGCCCTTGTCATTTAACAGATGATGTGTTGACTTCACATCACAGTATTTAAGTATTGTTAAATTTATATCATAGTATTCGGTTATAGGATATCAAGGAGGAGAGTGAATGTTACCCAGGGAATCTGTCTCCTTTCTGAAGAAAGAGTTATTGTATTTTTGGTTGTACACAGGATAGTTGTATCATGACCTTGTTGTTGTCTTTATTTGGAGATAAGGAGTGGTTTAAGTTTGTATGGTGCCAAGTTGACAAAAGGTGAACTTGTGATGATTAATTTTATATATCAACTTGACTCGGCTGTGATACCTGAATATAGTTCAAATACCAGTCTAGATTTCACTGTGAAGCTTTTTTTTTTAATGGAGTAAATACCTATATTTTTATTTGTAATTTTTAAATTTATAGACCAAACACATGTGCGAAAAGAATGGCCTCAATTTAATGGCATGTTGTCCCTTAAAAAAGTAGAAAAATAAGACAAAGCCAAATTAAGCAAGACTTTGGTTCAATATTATACTGGAAATTTTAATAAAACTAGACTTCTATTCAATATTGAGATGGAGGTTATTGTCACAATAATGAGGCAATAAAAAGTAAAATTACTCACATTGTTAAGGAAAAAATAAAACTGATCTACGGAGAAAACTCTATGGGATCTCCAAACAAAGCATAACCCAGAATAAACATATACAATGGAATACTACTCAGCCATAAAAAAGAATGAAATTTTGCCATTTGCAACAACATGGATGGACTTGGAGGGTATTATGCTAAGGGAAATAAGTCAGATAGAGAAAGACAAATACTGTATAATATCACTTATATGTGGAATCTTAAAAATACAACAAACTAGTGAATATAACAAAAAAGAAGCTGACTCACAGGTACACAGAACAAACTAGTGGTTACCTGTGAGGAAAGGGAAGTGGCGAGGGGCCATATAAGGGTAGGGGAATCAGAGGTACAAACTGTGATGTACAAAATAAGCTACAAGGATATATTGTACAATACAGGGAATATAGCCAATATTCTATAACTATAAATGGAGTACAGCCTTTAAAAATTGTGAATCACTATATTGTACTCCTCTAATTTATATAATATTGTACATCAGCTATACTTCAATAAAAAACAAAACATAACATTAACCAAAAGACCCTGCTAGAACGACTATCTGAAGCTTGAAGAATTCAAGATCCATATAAAAGAAACCATTCTATTTGCAATAGCAATAAACAGTTGAGAACTTCAGATCCCCCCTCCCCGCCCCAAATGTCTGTGTTGAAATGTACCAGGGACTTGTTTTAACCATGCACTGTGAGACATGCAGACATGGAAGTTACTTTGAAGAAGGACACTTACACCGTTCCCTAGAAACAGGAAGCACAGCATGTCATACTGGGCCGCATATGCTGGACCTCCACCTTCTGCTCAGGAGGCAGTTCAAGAAGAGCATGGCTCACAGCCTTGAAAAATTCTGGCAGACTTTGGGCTTCAGGGGTCATCCCTAGTTGCCACCCAGAAGAGGACCTTCACCCAATCATGAGGCACCTTTATGGCATTGGAGGACTTCCAGTCACCAGAATTGGGATAAATGAATGTCTGTTCTTCATAAATCACCCAGTCTATGGTGTTCTGTTATAGCAGACCTATAAGACTAAGAGAGACAGTTTGAAATTTTTCAGCGGGCTCCGTTTTGGAAGGGTGGACCCTAGTTGTCCCGTACCTAGCTCTGGTATAGGTACCAGAGCTAGGTACGGTATAGGGCAGGAAGGATTATTGGTTTGGTGTGTGAGTTTGATAAGGTTATGGTTGGGGGTGTGTGCTCCAGATTGGTCGGTTTGTGTATAATAAGCATGCTTATAGGGGAGGGATTTTTTACCTGCAGGAATTAACTAGCTCTGAGAGGGATAGCCTTGCCAGGAATAAGGCCCTAAAGGCCAGAGTAGGAAAAATACAAAAAAATAAGAAAATATAGTCAATACAATTAAAATTTAGCATACCATCCGATGTAGAAAATACATGCAAGATGGGTAAACAGAATTTTAAAAATTAGAGAAAAAAAAATTAAGACCCAAGTAAAAGGAGAGATATCTCACATTTACGGATTGTAATGCTCAATATTTCCTTCTAAATTGATCTATGTGTTAAGTGAAATCCAAGTCAAAATCTCGGTAAGCTCTCTTTTTTTTTAAATAGAAATTGCGAAGTGGATTCTACAATGAAAATGCAAGTGCAAAGGACCAAGAATAGCCAAACAACCTGGAAACAAGAAAGTGCTAGCATAAATACAAATAGATAAATGTAAGGGAATAGGAGGTCTAGAAATAAACATACACACAACTGATCAGTTGTTTTTCAGTGAAGGGACAAAAGCAATTTGGTATAGAAAGAATGATTTGTTAGATCAGTGTGCGGTAGCAGTTGGGTATGCAATTGGGTATGCAAAGAGAACTTATAAAAATTAAATAACTATGGATCATAGACATATATAGAAAAACCTAAAACTGCGAGAGTTACAAAATACTGGGTTGGCCAAAAATGTTGGTTCAGGTTTTTCGGTAGCATCTTACGGGAAAACCTGAACGAACTTTTTGGTCAACCCGATAAAACAGGAACACAGGTTTTGACCTTTTGTGGAAGTCACAAGCCCTACGTCCTCTCCAGTATTGCATGTGCTGACTCTACACCAGTCACACCTTTTTTCTATCTACCTCCTCTCATCCAAAGCCCAACCCCGCCTCTCCCACCACAGCCCAAGAGACTCCCAGCTGGCCTCATTTACTCTTGTCTTTTCCATTGTGGTTTATTACAAGATATTGAATATAGTTCCCTGTGCTCTACAGTAGGACCTTGTTGTTTATCTGTATATAGAGTTTGTATCTGTTTATCCTAAGCTTCTAATTTATCCCTTCCTCCACTCCCTTTCCCTTTTGGTAACCTTAAGTTTGTTTTCTGTATCTGTGAGTCTGTTTCTTTTTCTGTTTTTTTTTTTTCTTGTAGAATCTTTTATTTCAGTGATTAAAAGAACGCACTAAATGGAAACTATGCTGATTTACATTAGGCATGCACCTCTACCTGAAACTGCTGTTAGTTTTTGAGTGGCCTAAATCTTTATAACTTATTTTTTCATTTAGGCACATCTTTCAATTTTTTTGGACCCCAATATACAGGGTAAGTTAACTTCTTCCTTGTGGCAGTTTAGTATGAGAATTATGTTCACTGGCTAGATTCCTTTAACCAAAGGCCTCTAGACTCTCAGGTTACCTGTACTAGCTCAAGACTGTACTTTATATAGATATTTAAATGAATCACAGTATAAGGGAGAGAGATAACCTAGAAAGGTGAAATGTACTGTATG